GCTGAGGGATAGCTCCCAAGCCCAGAGTTTAAGCCACACACACACACACACACACACACACACACACACACACACACACACACACACACACACACGAAAGAGTAGAAACTTGGTTGCCTGCTGCTGCTCTGAATATCTCAGTGCTTTGTACACAATGGGTGGTTAATAAATGTTTCAGGGCTGGGAATGTGGCTCAGTGGAAGAGTGCTTACAAGCATTAAGCCCTGGGTTCGATTTTTCAGTACCACATACACAGAAAAGCCAGAAGTAGTACTGTGGCTCAAGTAGAGCAATAGCTTTAAACAAACAAAGAAGCTCAGGGACAGTGCCCAGGCCAAGTTCAAGCCCCAGAACTGGCAAATAGACATATAAGATAGATACAATAGATTAGATAGATAGATAGAAAGATAGATGTTTCAGAGCAATTATTACTCAAAGAGACCTGAGCTCAGGGGCTGGGAATGTGGCTTAGTGGTAGAGTGTTTGCCTAGTATGCATGAAGCCCTGGGTTCAATTCCTCAGTACCACATAAACAGAAAAAACCAGAAGTGATGTTGTGGCTCAAGTGCTAGAGTACTAGCTTTAAGCAAAAGCTCAGGGACAGTGCCCAGGCCCTGAGTTCCAAGTCTCAGGCCCTGGGTTTGATTCCTCAGCATGACATAAGCAGAAAAAGCCAGAAGTGGTGCTATGACTCAAGTGGTAGAACGCTAGCCTTGAGCTGAAGAGCTGAGGGACAGTGCCCAGGCCCCACGACCACCCCCCCCCAAAAAAGAGAGGGAGACCTGTATTCAACAGCTACAAGAAGAATCTGGGAATGTGTGTGATACAAATCTTGAGTCAACTCTAATAGATGGGACAATTTTAATTTACTTCAAAACTGTGAACAATTATCTACCCCATGTAATTGTAACCCCTCTGTACGGTATTTTCACAATAAAAAATAATTAAAAAAAAAAAACTGAACGATGGCTGGGAAGGTGGCTCAGTGGTAGAATGCTTGGCTTGCATGCATGAAGCCCTGGGTTTGATTCCTCAGCATCATATAAGCAGAAAAAAAAACCGGAAGTGAGGCTGTGGCTTACGTGGTAGAGTACTAGCCTTGAGCTGAAGAGATCAGGGACAGCAGCCAGGCTCAGAGTTCAGGCCCATTAACCGGCAAAACAAAAACAAAAACAAAAAACCCCAAAAACAAAAACTGTGAACAATCCAATTAGGTGATATACAAGGACACAGTTTCTCAGGTCATATTTGGTGTTTTGGAAAGCTGACAGCCTACAGAAGAGCAGCTAAGGGGAGGAAAAGTGACCAGAGGAGGAAGGCTAGGTAGCTGACTGTCAGAAGGACTTCCCTAGTTATTTAAGCACAGTAGATACAACACTATTAGAACTTACTAGACTACAGGAAAACATAAATTGAAGCCCTTCATCTAAGAACCACTGCTTGTTCTCCCGAGATTTTCCAGGTCAGGGTCTAGAACAAAAAGAAAGTGACCACTTGAACATCAAACTGCCCTAGTAGTTTAGAAATATGAACTTTGGTAGCCCTCTGTCATAACAATGGCAGAGGCAACAATAAAAGAATGCAGATTCAGACAAGGCTAACTCCTTGCCCCCATTTAAAAAAGGGTTCTTAATGTAGGGGCTCTGGGATTAGACTACCAGATAACTGCATCTCTAGTTTTCTCACCACCCTGCCTCATCTCTCACCCCTAGGAAAGAAATGTATGTGGTTTTGCAGCTCCAGCCATGTTAAAGAGAGAACTGTGGAAATCCTAAAATGAACCTCATACCACTCATACCAGTATTTATCCCCGCCCCCCCACCAGGCTAATTGAACTCAGGGCCTGGGTACTGTCCCTGAGCCTTTTTATATTTAAAGCTAGTGATCTAATACTTGAGCCATAGCACCACTTCTGGTTTTTTGGTTTTGTTTTTTTTTTGTTGGTCATGGGGCTTGAACTCTGGGCCTGAGCGCTGTCCCTCAGCTCTTCAGCTCAAGGCTAGCGCTCTACCACTTTAGTCACTGCGCCAGCCACTTCCAGTTTTCGGAGTGGTTTACTGAAGATAAGAGTCTCACGGACTTTCCTGCCAGGGATGGCTTTGAACCGCACTCCTCAGATCTCAGCCTCCTGAGTAGCTAGGATTACAGGTGTGAGCCACCAGTGCCTGGCTTACCTCATACCGGTATTTTCAAGAGAGAAATACAACCTGGATATACATGTCTCCTATTCCAGTTATCTGAGAAACTCTTATCAAGTTCTTACTCTTTCAAAAGTCTCTAAACAACTTTTATAATTTAGTATGGAAAAACAATGTAGCTAGTCAAATTTAGCACATAATTCTGAATGACCTTGGTCTTAATTTTTTAAAGGCTGTGAAAACTCACATGCCATAAGGAAAAGCATCCTATGTGTGACAATGAGAATAGTTTAATAATGCCTACGGAATACTTGGGGAACAACCACAAACTGAGCCCATCTACTTACCTTTCTCATCATTTCAGCTGAAATAATAACATTTTCTTTAATATTCTAAATCTCCCAAATGAGAAGAGAAGGGGGAAAAAGACACTTCCCCTTTCTCGTTGTTACTTAAGGTCCTCTTAAGAATTCTATTTCTGAGGCTGCACTCAATTCTCCCAAACATCTCAGTTTGGAAGACAGCATAGTACCTCACCTTTAAAACCACCTTCCAGAAAAGGCGATTATAAGAAACAGAAGCAAGATGAATAGATTCAAAGATTCTGAAGCAACACAAAACTAAAGAACCTAAACTATTACATTTAAACTATCGGTGTTTTGTTAAACATTTACACCAAAACTGCTTAGGCCAAACCAAATGAATTTATTCAAAATCATTAACTGTAAATTACTGTGTTTCAACTCTGGCTCAAACACTACTTTGCTCATCTCCCTAAGCTTCCTCTGCTCTCAGAACAGAGATAACAGCATCTACCCCACAAGGTTATTTTAAGCATTGCCTAGGATCAGCCATATAAAGCACTTAGCTGACTACTTAGTATATAGCAGTGTATTTGTTAACTATCATAATGACTGAAATTTATTAATTTACAGTCACTGCAATGGAGCCCCATGGAACTACATAAAAACTGAGACATTACCTCCAAGTCAGACACATTAGTTCAGTAAATGGACTTTGTAACATTTATTTTGATTGCTCAAAGGTCTTTTTTGGTTTTGCTTACTTCCTGAATCTCAGCTATGTTCTAGAGAAACAGGCAAGTGCCACAGACAACAAAATCAAAGACATGGTGTTACTTTAGATGTGGAGATTTTTATAAATTAACCAGATGAATGGAATCTCTGTCCTACAGGTTCTTCAGCACTTCTATCTTTCTCTACCTCTCAAAAAATTAAGTTCTTGAGTTCTTCAAAAGCTATCTCCCCTTCCATGGGCGAGGCATACAATTAGAACTAAGATTAAGGAAGTCCTGTCATTTTATTTTATTTGTTTGTTTTTTGGGTCTGGTCATGGGGCCTGAACTCTGGGCCTGGGCGCTGTCCCTCAGCTCTTCAGCTCAAGGCTAGCACTCTACCACCTGAGCCACAGTGCCACTTCCAGCTTTTTTCTTTTTGCTTATGTGGTGCTGAGGAATTGAACCCAGGGCCTCAGGCATGCAAGGCAAGTGCTCTACCACTGAGCCACCTTCCCAGCCCAGTCCTGTCATTTTAATAAACAATTTTAACTGGGTGCCAGTGGCTAATGGCTTTAAACCTAGGAGTCTGAGACAGAGGATCACTGTTGGAAGCTAGCCTGGGCAGGAAAGTCCATGAGACTCTTATATCCAACTAATCACCAAAAAGCTGGAAGTGGAGTTATGGCCTAAGTGGTTAGAGCATCAGCTTTGAGCAGAAAAAGCTAAGAGACAGCATTTAGGCTGAATTCAAGCCCCAGTACCAACACAAGAAAAAAAAAATTTAAAAAAAAGGTTTTAAAATGTATATTTCTTAAGCTTTTGGGTTAAGGAAATGTAAGACTCGGATGCTATTATTATCTGGGAAAGATTGTTTCCCCGGCCTCCTCCCAGCAAGACTTATAAGAGTGTTCAGACTTCGGGGGAGGGGCTGGGCCAACTCACTGGTGACGTGGAGCTAGGAACTGCATGGAAGCACAAGGGATCTCGGCAGTACCCAGCGCTGCAGTTTTTCGAGAACCCGTTATTACAGCGAAACAAAACCAGTTCGCTTCTCCGAACTACACACACACACACACACACACACACACACTCACTCACTCCACTCCCCCAGCCCTGCCTGCGGCGCCTGCCACCGATCCGGGGCCCCGAGGACTGGGGTGCAGCCTACACAACTCCCTGCACAGGCTCGGTACCACACTCCATAGCCTAGAACTTAACCCACGGCCCAATCCCTTAGGGGACAGGGTGGACATAAGGATGACCTCTTCCCCTGGTCGCCGCCGCCCCCCTGGAGTGGTCCGGCTGCCACGTCAGGCCACGGTCCGGCCCCAATTTCTCCCGCCAATCCCACTGATTCGAGGACACCCCCTACCCCACCCCCGGCCCTGCCACACACCTTCAGCGCGGGACCTCGGCCTGAGAAGCGCCCCAAGACAAGTCCGAGGCGCGGGACACGCCCACCGGACCCCCGCTCCCCTCCCAAACTTTTCAGACACCACAGCAGCACCCTCCTCCCCCACACCGCGCAGTCCGGTCAGCGCCCCCACGCCCGGACGACTCAAGTTCGCCAGGACGGAGGGCCCGGCCCTGCGCACCCCGAGGGGCGGCAGGGTGCTCCCCACCCTCGGGTCACGGTATCCGTCACGTCGGCAGGAGAGGCGCGGGGTGTCGGGCCGCCACGATCCCAGAGAGGGGTGTGGGGGGGTGTCCCGGAGCGACCGAGGCCGACGGGTCCTCGGAACCCGGCCCCGCGCCCCGGCTTCTCAGGGCCTGGCCCGGCCGCTCACCGGCGCAGGAGCGCGTCTTCCAGATCTTCAGCAGCAAGATGACGATGGCCGCCAGGTGGGACAAGTCCCCGGTCAGCCGGAAGATGTTCATGGCGGCAGCGGCGACAGTTGGCGCGGCGGCCACGGAGCTCGGCGACTAAGGAGGCGGCGGCCCCTGAGAGGAAGCGGAGAAGATGGCGAGAGCGGCGCGACGTGGCCAGGGACGTGGCCGAACTGCCGTCGCGCGCGCGCGCTCGCGGGGCATTCTGGGAGAGCGGGCTACATCCAGGCCCCGCCTTCCGTGCCCCGCCCCTTTAAGGGGAACGCGCCGGAGATTTGGCTCTTCTCCACCAGCCCGCCTTGGCTTCCCGCTGAGATCACCCAATCCTCCCCAACTTCCATCTGCCAAGGATTTTGGCTTCTTCTCTGCGCCGGCGATTCGCTTTTACTTTTGAGATGACATTCGCTGGTGATAGTTCTCTTCCCATCCCCCTTCCCACTGGCCATAGACTACATTCTTGTATGCAAAAATAATTCGTGTTCACGTCACTCAAGGTCGACATTGGAGGTCGATGCAGAAGGATGCAGTTGAAGTTGGGATTCCAATTTTTTTTTTAACCGTTCTGGGGACTGTCTTGCGAGAGAAAGCTGGAAGAGAGTGTAGCTCAGTGGTAGAGCACTTGACCCCTAGCACTGGCGAAGAAAATGGGGGGTGGGGTGGGAAATGGTAGTGTAAAATTAGAGAGGACATTGAACATTTCTTTCTATAGGTTGAGGAAATAGATCACAAGAAGGTGCCAGGCACCCATGGCTCACCTTGTAATTCTAGCTACTCAGGAGGTTGAAATCTGAGGATCTCAGTTCAAAGCCAGCCCAGGTAGGAAAGTCTATGAGACTCTTTATCTCCAGTGAATCACTGAAAAGCCAGAAATAGAGGTGTCGCTCAAGTGGTGGGCCCTGAGTGAAAAAGCTAAAGGACAGCACGTAGGCCCTGAGTTCAAGTGTACACACACACACACACTCAAGACAGTAGATTTAGAGTGTGGGCCCAATAGGGTCCAGGAAACAAGGGCTTCCTACTATAAAAAGCACAAAAGCCAGGAAATGACATGAAGTTTGACTAATTAATGATCATATACACTTCTTTTTTTTTTTTGGTCCACTCGTGGGGCCTGAACTCTGGGCCTAGGCGCTGTCCCTTAGTTCTTCAGCTCAAGTCTAGTGCTCTACCACTTGAGCCATAGCGCCACTTCCGGCTTTTTTCTTTTTGCTTATGTGGTGCTGAGGACTCGAACCCAGGGCCTCATGCATGCAAGGCAAGCGCTCGACCACTGAGCCACCTTCCCAGCCTCAATCATATACACTTCGACAATGCTTCCTCCTATATTTCTGTAACTAGACATTCTTTACCGCTTCATATGACATTGGTTTTTAGTTTGTTGGTTGGTTTTTGTCAGTTGTGGGGCTTGAACTCAGGGCCTGGGCACTCCCTGAGTGTCTTTGTGCTCAAGGCTAGCACTCTATCACTTGAGCCACAGTGCCATTTCAGGTTTTTGAGTAGTTAATTGGAGGTAAGAGTCTCACAGAGTCTTCTCTGACCAGACTGGCTTCAAACTGCAATTCTTAGATCTCAGCTTTCTTAGTAGCCTGGCAACATTGGGATTTTTTTTGTTTGTTTTGTTTTAACACATTTTCTACAGAAAGAATAGAAAAAACTATTTTATGTAGTGTAGGTGATTTTGATAATTTGGAAACATTTCTTTCATCTTCTCAATTACAATGTTATGTCATGGGTAGTTTTAGGATTTTTGTCCTATTTGAGAAACCCTTGATCATATTTCTTCCACTACAAGAGCTGCAGGATTCCAAAGCATTTCTACTGTTCTTTTTTGTTGTTGCTTTGGTTCCTTTCTTTGTGCTAATGCCAGGGCTCGAACTTAGGGGGCCGAAAATTCTCACTCACCTTGCATACTCACAGCTGGCACTCTGCCACTTGAGCCACACCAACCAGCTCAGCTTTTTGCTTGTTAATTGGAGCTAGAGTCTGGCAGACTTTTCCAGGCTGGCTTTAAAGCCCAATCCTCAGATCCCTGCCTCCTGATTAGACACACAAGCATGAGCACTGGTTCTATCACTTAAGGCACATGTCTAGCCCCCCTTTTTTTTTTTTGGTTGGTCATGGGGCTTGAACTCTGGGCTTGGGTGCTATCCCTGCGCTCTTCAGCTCCAGGTGAGTGCTCTACCACTTAAGCCACAGCGCTACTTCCAGTTTTCTAGTGGTTTATTGAAGATAAGAGTTTCGTGGACTTTCCCTGCCTGGGCTGGCTTTGAACCACAATCCTCAGAGCTCAGCCTCCTGAATAGATAGGATTACAGGTGTGAGCCACTGGTGCCTGGCGTCTAGACCTTTTTGCTTTATTTTACAGGCCCAAGCCAGTCTCAAAACACAAACCTACCACCTCCACCTCCAACATAGCCCGGATTACAGGCATGCACTGCCATACCTGGCCTGGAGAAGTTCATATTCTCGAGTAACTTGGTAGCATTCTATCTTGATGCAATTTTTTTGTTTGATCTAGTGGTCAGTTATAGAGCACCTGTTGTATGGCTGGAAGCAGCAGGGCCAATGAGATGGTGGGGTTATCAGCAGATACACCGTGAGTGGCTGAACTCGGGGTGTGTGAGAATTTACTAAGGGAAGGTAAATAGTGTCCCAACTTAAAAGGTCAAAGAAGATAAGGAGACTAAGCTTTCCCTCTGGCTTCCAATCCTGGGGTTCTCATAGGTTTGAGGAAGAGAAAGCAGACTTCAGTGTGCCCACTGGTAAGTGGAGCACCATAGAGGTAGCAGGTGCAAATAATATCTGAAGACATTGGCTCTGAAGCAGAAGGAGAGGCCAACAGCCACCAAGGTATTTCAAGGACAGAAAGGAGAGACAGAAAGAGCCAATGGCTAGTGATTGATGGTCACAGAAGAGGCAGGTACTTGACACAGATGGAGAAATAGCTCTGGGTAGGGGATGTGGTTAAGGATACATTTGTAAAAGATTATAGATGTGTATGCAACGGGGAAAAGTCTCACCCAATAGAATAGTTTCTCTGTAAAATATTAGCTTTTAGCTTTATATATTTTTGCCAGTGGGAACTCAGGGCCTCACAGTCTTGATGTTTGTTTGCTAGGCGGGTGCTCTACCACTTGAGCCATCTCTCCAACCATGTTTTTTGCTGGTTATTTTGGAGATGTAATCTCTCAAACTTCTCTGCTCAATCTGCTTCTAACTGAAGTGTAAATCTCAGCCACCAGAGTAACTCTCATATAGGATTATAGTGATGATCCTACAGGATCCTAGGAATGATCCACGACTCCCTTGTTGTTGTTGTTGTTGTTGGTCATGGAGCTTCAACTCTGGGCCTGGGCACTGTCCCTCAGCTCTTCAGCTCAAGGGTAGAGCTCTACCACTTGAGCTGCAGCGCCACTTCCGGTTTTTGGCTAGTTTTATTGGAGGTAAGTGTTTCACAGCCTTTCCTGCCCGGGCTGGCTTTGAATTGTGAGCTTCATATCTCAGCCTTCTGAGTAGCTAGGATTACAGGCGTGAGCCACCAGTACTCGGCTCCTTTGAGTTAGGGTCTAATGTTCTTGATCCTCAAATTGAGATTTTTTTTCCTTCTCTTGATAGTCCGGACCACAGATTTACACTATCACCATCATCCAGGAAGCTGATATCTGCTAAAGTGTCATCAAAATGCTGATGAAGATACTCATAAAGTTCTTAAGCTAAACCAGCTGGCACCAGCTCCTATCACACCTGCGAGGATTACAGTTTGAGGCTAAACCAGATAGGAAAGTTCCTAAGACCCCCTTTCAACCCATAGGTACAGACATGCATGCTTGTCATCCCAGGCTACATGAGACTGAGATTGAGGGGATCACAGTACCAACAAACCTGGGGAAGCAAAGTGCACCAGACTGTCACCATGGGGGGAAAGTTGGATGTGGTGGTGCACATCTATGATCTCCACAGTGGCCTGGCTCAGGTAACCTACCTGGGCAGAAACAAGACTCAAACCTAAAAATAATTAGGGTAAAATAGGGTTGAGGGTATGGCTCAGTGGTTTTGTGCTAGCCTAGGAAGCAGGGGCCCTGTGTTCAAAACTCTCAGTGCACACACACACACACACACACACACACCACACGTGCGTGCTAAAGAAGGGTATAGTGGCTCAAGTCTGTAATTCTAGCTTTCAGGAGGCTGAGATCTGAGGATCACAGTTTGAAGCCAATTCAGGCAGGAAAGTCTGTGAGACCCATCTCTAATGAGCCACCACCAAAAAGCTAGAAGTAGAGCTGTGTGGCTCAAGTGACAGAGTGCCAGCCTTGAGTGAAAAAGCCAGATGGGAGTGTTAGGTCCTGAGTTCAAGCCCCAGAACTGTCACACACAACACACACACGCATACACACACACACACACACACACACACACGCTATCCCCAATCTCCCACACGTCCTTGAATGCACAGCGTGTGCAATGTGGTTTTCAAAGCCACCAATGGATGATGCTTGGTGATGAACGTGGTGGAAGAGATGGAAGGACCTCTGCCTCCTCTCCTGTGGGTAAGTGACTCTTATTGGGGGGAGACCAAGTAATCACACCTAGAATGCCCAAGCTCTCTCAGCCAGGATTCCAGATGTGGAGGAGCTCCTTACATGGTTTGTAAAGCTGCTCAATGTATTTTTTTGGGGGTCTAGTCGTGGGGCCTGAACTCTAGGTCTGGGCGCTGTCCCTCAGCTCTTCAGCTCAAGGCTAGC